ACAGAGGGCTGGGAAGGTGTTAACTGGGGAACTGGGATGGGATTCCTGCTCAGGGCCATGGAATCTGCTGGGGGAGGCAGCAGCTGTGGGTGCAGCTTCTGGAGCATTTCGAGATGCAAAAGGGAAGGAGGAGATGAAGGATCCTTTGTAAATCCTGCAGGCACTGCTGGAATCCAAGCTGGGAGCGAGGGATGGAGTCTGTGCCAGAGGATTGCAGGCAGTGAAAAAGCTTAAAATGATGAGTTTTAATTCCTGCCTGCATTTCAAGCACCCTCTGTGAGCACACCAGAACACACACTGGTGCCGTTCAGCGCATCCACTCAACATGCTTAGAAAAATTAAGAGCAACTTTTTTGATTTTGCACCCAGTACTTGCTGTTGACCTTGAGATTTGCCACCTGCCACATCAGCCAGCCTGGTGAAACCTGTCCCACCTGTGAGTTTGCTGGGGATGGAGGTAATTCCTGTAGCCTGGGACAGTGTTTGAACATCACCCAGCAGAGGAGCATCGCAGACTTTTATCTAACAAGGGCTTCAACAATATAAATATTTAAGTACAATAAACAATTATGATCAAGTTTCTTGGGTGACTGCACACAGCAAGTGAATTTTAAATTCATTTCCCATGGGTATTGAGTCTTCACATTCACTTTCTGTGGATGTTCATGCTAATAAAACTTCATTGCACAGAAAGAGAACACAAGAGGGATGCAAATATGACAAGGGCAAATTTGCTTAAGAGTTCAAATGAATATTCACCAACTTTTTATTATTTTTAAGTATTCATTCCTATTTGCTATAAAAAGATTTTTTTATCTTTACTCTTCAAGCTCAGTGAAGCGTGATTGAGGTATAATATGTATTTTCTTGTACTAATGGAAAGTTTTGTTACCAGCAAGCACAGAGTGCATTTAAAATGTTCTTTATCTTCAGGAAATGTCACTACTGAGCCCACGTGAGTTACCACCGTCTTGATTTACATCTGTATTCCAACACATCTTGCACCCTAAGGCTGGGATCTCCCTGGTTTATCCCTCCTTTCAAGCTGCAGATCTCAGATCCAGATCCTGACACCATTATTTTCCTCTGATTTTCCCTGCTAAACTTTCATCTCGCGCTGCCCTCAGCTGTGAGGATGCTGCAGATGTTTTTCCTTCACACAAACTGAGATCCCCTTTGGAAGGACTTGGGGGTCACTGCAGCTCCATTTTGCCTGAGGCAGAGGGAGCACAGTTTTGACATCTTCATTTGATTTCTGTCCTGGAATTGAAAGAGATGCAAATTAGTAATAATGAATATTTTCATTAAAAGTGTCTAGACAGTACATCTGAGAACATGATAATGATACTTCTGCTTTATATAAAAAAGTCTGAAGTAGACCCAGGATTTATTTTTTTTTTGTCAGAAAAGATAACATTTATTTTTTTAAAAATGTAATTTAGTGTAAATGAAATTAGGGTAATTGCTAATTATGTAACTGCAAACGAGGCAGATCTTTATCTTGAGTCAAGCTGGTCTCGTGCAGATTATGAACCGTTACTTTCATGAGGTGGCATCAGAAGGCAAAAAATATCAGTGAAACAGTCCTAAGTCATTTCTCGTGTTTCTCAGGAGCTTTTGGGCTGTGAGGCATGAGGGATGGAGCATCACCCCCCCCCCCATTGCATGGGTTTCATGGCAGAATGGTTTGGGCTAAAAGGGACTTTAAAGCCCATCCCATCCCACCCCTGCCATGGCAGGGACACCTTCCATTGTCCCAGGCTGCTCCAGGCTGGCCTTGGGCACTGCCAGGGATCCAGGGGCAGCCCCAGCTGCTCTGGGCACCTGTGCCAGGGCATCACCACCCTCCCAACCAGAATTTCTCCCTAATACCACCCAGATAGACATATAGGTATCTTTTCCCCTTTCCCATTTGTCTTCTGCCGTGTCAGAGCAAGCTGCCACCTCCAGCCCTGCATTCCCCACACCTCAGCTCACATCTCCATCAGGTTTGAAGCCCCAGGCTCATTGTCACCCCCCCCGGGCCTCCAGCAGTGTGACAAACTGCACTTACCACCCAACAAAACTTCATCCCAGGCTGTTCAATGGGAACAGGTTTTATTTTCCATATGTACTGGAAGGAAGTTAATAATACAAAACCCACCCTGGAGTCAAGTACTGCAGAATGAAGTCAGGAACTTTATAGGATAAACATATTATCCTCACACAAGCTGCAGTACGTGGGTATTGGAAAAATTAAATGCACTTGAATAGCTTTGCAGATATATTTCTGTCTCCATAAAACCTACTGACAGTGAACAAACACAAGAGCTTGGCAGTTGTCCTGCTTGGTTTAATTGCCTTTGGTGGATTTTATATCCATCACCTTCTTAAAATCCCTATGTTAACAATCCTGGCAGCTTCTTGTCCTGAAGACTTTGGGGTGATGGAGATGCTGGTACCCACAGAACCTCCTGCACCCACTGGAGGATACTCCCAACATGCTTAGATTTTTCTAAGGAATCCCTCCAGCTGTGCTTTTAAAAAATTATTAATTTAGCCTTTGGGGGAGGGTGAGGGGGGCATTACATATCTTCCCTGGCTTTCTCTGAGACCACTCAGAGTGATCCCTCTCTCCACCTTTCCCTGTGAGGGTGGTGATGCCCTGGCACAGGTGCCCAGAGCAGCTGAGGATGCCCCTGGATCCCTGGAAAAGTCCAAGGCCAGGCTGGATGGGGCTTGGAGCAACCTGGGATAGTGGAAGATGGTCATGGCAGGGGGTGGGTGGAACAAGATGAGCTTTAAGATCCCTTTAAAGGATTTTAGTCCCTCCAGTTCCAGCCACTCTATGATCCCATGATCAGAAAATCAGCTTTCCCTGCCTGCCTCTTGCTCCCCCAAGTTATCACTTGAGGTCAGCTCCCTGTTCTCTGGAGAAAACGTCCCTATTTTCATAAAAAGCTATTAATATAAATGATATTAATAAGCCTCACCTGCATTAGCAGAACAGAATGCTTCAAGCCTTCTCTCAAAGAGGACTGAGCTCCTGCTGGCATTCCAGCTGATGAGCAATGCAGCCCATCTGGGAGCACAGACTGCTCCCAGCAGCAGCTGGAGACCAGCTGCAGAGATTTGGGGCTGGCTGGGGCAGCTCTCAGCTGATCAGCCTGACCTACAACTTCTCCCCAAAGTGGAGGAAGGGACCTGGGAGCTGTGGCAGCCTGGATTCCCCCAGGAATGCTGCAGGCTGGGATGGGAGCCTGGCTGCATGGCCCTTCCCTGGGGCAAAAAGCAGAAAATGCAGGAGTAACGGGAACTATCTGAGATTATTTTAACTGTCAGATATCAGCAGCTCAATTTGATCCCTGCCATGAACTGACTTAGAGCCTAAATTTTTCAGAGGCCGATAATCACCTCAGAATTGATTTTGTACCAAGATACTTTATCACATTCTTGTATTTGGTGTGGTCTGATGGGGGTTTTTTAGAAGTAATCTATGTCAAAGTTAAACAGACTTTATTAGAACACACATGTTCCCTGCCCTTCTCTGGTTGGGTGTCCCTTTAGGGTAAATCATGGTGAGATGAAGGAATTGCTCCTGATTTAACTGGAAATCCCCACTCTGTTTCAAGGGTTGCAGTGCCCTCTCCTAGTGGACCTTGGTCACACCCTGTCCCAGCCCATCTGCTCCTCAGTTTCCCCATCCTCTGAAATGATACCTGCAGTATCCTCCTACCTCACCCAAGGAAAGAATACTTGTATGTTCTTTTATTATGAAATTATTTTATTTTATTAAATTATCTGATGTAGGGGGATTTCTCTCACCCCTGGAAAAGTGCTATTTTTCTCAGGATAGCCAACCTGTGGTACAAACCCTTAAAGAAATGGACATCAGTACATTCCAAGCCCCAAATTCACAGGATGGAGAGATCCATACTGCCACCTTAAAACATGACTGCAAAAAAAGTAATATGTATATGTAGAAATATAATGCCAAATTTTCAGCTGCCTTCTCAATGCTGAAACTTTATCCAGGTGTATTTTTAGGTCTTTCACAGGTTAGTGGGAAATGTAATTATAGGTTTATATGCAGTACAGGATTAGTCCACCCTGCTGGTAGCATCTTGGCTAAAACCAGGGGAAATGGAGGAGGGGGCAGGGGGAGGGGAAGGTTATTTTTATTGTTCCACACTCCCAGCACATTCTGTTGGTGTGAAAGAGACTGGTTTGGCAGCGGGGTGATCCCCAAACCAGGCATAACCCAGGGTTGGTGCCACGGACAGAACAAGGGAAGGTGATGGCACTGAGAGCAGAACGTGTGTTCTTTCACCTGAAAGAAAAGGGAAGGACTAAATTAAGTTTCACTCTTATCTGGACTGGGCTGTTTTGTCCCTGAAATGCCCGTGGGAATTTTGTGGATGCTCGTGTGCTCCCTGCCTGCTGGGTGCCAACGGG